AACAAATCTGAGATGTAATAGTCCAAAATACTCACAAATTATGAACAAAAACTTGTAAACAACACTCTTAAAATCAATAACCCTCAGATTTTAAAAAATATGATGCCCTACCTTAAAACTCACGCTTTGTTCTTCACAAATCCAAATATTTGTGATCAAAATCAATGATTCAACAACAATTTATTGACTAAAATGTTTGACAAAATTAAAGTAAAGGCTAAAAGATTTGATTAAAAAGCTGAAAAGGATGAAAAAGGACAAAAAAATGATAAAAAATCAATGATCTCGTGAAGAACACTGTTACACCCGTGTTTTCCTATTTCGAACTGGTGACCCGGCGATTTTTACTGTTGGGAATCACCTGGTTCTCTTTGGACACGGGCGATTCCCTGTATTTCTATGGAACCGGCACGGTACACCCGTGTTTTCTTATTTCGAACCGGTGACCCGGCGATTTTTACTGTTGGGAATCACCTGGTTCTCTTTGGACACAGGCGATTCCCTGTATTTCTATGGAACCGACACGGGTATGCCTTGGGAATCACCTGGTTCTCTCTGGACACGGGCGATTGCCTGTATTTCTATGGAACTGGTACGGGTATGCCTTGGGAATCCCCTGGTTCTCTCTGGACACGGGCGATTGCTTGTATTTCTATGGAACCGACACGGGTATGCCGCCGTTCCCGAGTCGAACCAGGCGAGATCGGTTCAACTCGCCGAGTTTTCAATCACTGGTTGAGTCCCTGCTCTTTGAAGCCAGCCTCACATGTTTCCCTCCACCATAGGATCGAGTCCACCAAGCCCTTCGGCTAGACAAATCCGACCAACTCTTGACTTGACATGTTTCCCTCCACTATAGGATCGAGTCCGCCAAGCCCTTCGGCTAGACAAATCCGACCAACTCCCGACTTGGAGAGAGCTAGTCGATTGCTAGACAAATCCGTTTTCAATCACTGGTTGAGTCCTTGTTCTGTGAAGCCAGCCTCACATGTTTCCCTCCACCATAGGATCGAGTCCACCAAGCCTTTCGGCTAGACAAATCCGACCAACTCCTGACTTGACATGTTTCCCTCCACTATAGGATTGAGTCCAAGTCAGGAGTATAGTATGGAAATTATACTCCTGAGGGAGTATAGTTTCGAAAATAAAAACAAGAGAAGTTTGACAATGACTTGAAGAAATAGAAATATAAAAGTTAAGAGGAGATAAATACCAACATGAAAAAGTACATATAAAATTAACAACATGAAAAAATACAAATACGAATAACAATAAAAATACCAACATGAAAAAGTACAAATAAAAATTGGCAAAAAAAATACAAATAAAAATACCGAAAAAACACAAATAAAAAATTGGCAAAGGTGGTTTGTCCGTGTGGAAATGGAACTCATAGGGGTTTTGTGATTGGGGCAACAAATCCACGAACCAACGTGTAATATTTTCGCTGAGAAAGCGAGAGGGAGTTGGGGCACACTGAAAGGCAGCCTCACACGTTTTCCGCCACAACAATAGAATCGCGTCCACCAAACCTTCGATCAGAAAAACTCGATTAACTGACGCGTGCAACGCCTCCCTATAATTGTCTAGACACCAGCCCACGAGCCCACGTTTCCAGACTACGCCGTTAACAATCTCAAACTTGGAACTTTTAAATGTTTGAATATCTGCGGTAGCTTCGATGTGGGATAATGTGAGGTTTTATGTTCATTTGTACCCCTCACTCTCTCACTTCCAAAAATGTCTCTATCTCCTTGTTAAAATTAAAGCCTTCCACGTGTTCTCCTCTTCTCTCTCTCTCTCAAGAGTAGAATGTCCATTTAGACCTTTGGGTAAAAGCCTGCCTAGAATTAGTTTTAGGACCATAAATTTTGGGGATAACTTCTTATCACATAGATTAACTTCAATAAAAGAAATTCTTAATTATACCTCCTATTCACTTAAAAACATAATGTCCTGATATTGAATTCAGACCGTCCAATTTTTAGATAGAGAGATATAAATGTTAGAAAACTCAAACTTCAATTTTTTTTCTTGAGAACAATTATGTATTCTTAAATGGTTTCTAAAATTTTAGATTGAAAAAATTCCTCCAAAAACAATCTTTTTGAACGAGCAACTAGAAGTAAAATATGCTCTTGAGGTAATATAGTATGGGAACTATGCTCCTGAGGGCAGCTTGACCACAAAGAAGTAAACTATGATCCTCAGGGAGTATAGTATGAAAACTATGCTCCTGAGGGCAGCTTGACCACAAGGAAGTAAACTATGCTCCTCAGGGAGTATAGTATGGAAAATAAAAACAAGGGAAGTCTGACAAGGAAGAAAAAAATGAGGAGCTTACTGAAAGAAATAGAAATATAAAAGTTAACTGAAGGAAATAAATACCAATATGAAAAAATACAAATAAAAATAACAAGATGAAAAAATATAAGATTTCAAAAAATACAAATACAAAAAAGAGTTCAAAAAATACAAATACAAAACAGATTTCAAAAAATACAAATATTCAAAAAAGATGTGGCAAAAAGTGGTTGTCCATATGGAAATGATACTCATCGGGTTTAATTGGGTAATTCCAAAAACCAACATGTTATCCTTCCACTGCCAAGAGCGAGAGGTAGTCGCTGCTCTGTAAAGCCAGCCTCACGCATTTTCCTCCACTGTAGGGATGAGTCAACCAAGCCCTTCGGCTCGATAGAGCCAACCAACTCCTGACTTGGAGAGGGCACGCCAATTGAAACATGGCAACCCACCCACGAGCCCCAATGCCACAGTCCAGCCACCTTGTATGCTTTCGCTCGAGTTACAAGCCCATGCTACCAGGCTCAGCGGTGAACGAATTCAAACTTGGAAGTTTTATATGTTTCGTATATCTTACGTAGCTTCGATGTGGGATAATAGAAGGTTTTCTGCACCCCTCCCACGCTTCCAAAAATGTCTCCACCTCCTTTTTAAAATTAAAGCTTTCCACGTGTTTTCCACCTCCTCTATCACTCTCTAACTTCATCATTCTCTCTTTGTACTCCTCATTTCTTCTTTGCGGCATTCACTCTATGGATTTTACCTTTTTTTATTATAAAAACTAAAAAATTTGTGACTTTCATTCACTTTCTCTCTCATGTTAGTCGGCAACGCGGTCTTCCCTCGCTTGGATTTTGATATCACTTAATTGACGGTTTGGCTCCTATGTTATCTTTACGCAAGACAAATTTATGCATATCTTCCTCTAATATTAAAAAAATGCCCTTTTCAAGTTTATTATATTCATATCTATCATTTCAGTTTTTTTTCTTTTCTTTTTTTTTAAAATTTTCTCTATTTTGGATCTTGAATATTTTCTTGTCAACACAAAATTACGAGATTCCGAATTGCTCCTATTTTGGACCGCAAAGCTTGTCAAAGGTTTAAAACTTCAGACCTTCAAGGTTTGAAGTACCGAAGTTAATTTTTTTTCAACACTAGACCTTCATGGTCCCAAATTGTGAAGTACCTGTGAAAAAAAAAATCCATAACTTCATACCTTAAAAGTCCAAATTTTAAATTTATAAAAAATAATATCAACATAATTTCAAACTTTAAAAAATATTAAATAGCGATAATTTTAAGGGATATAATGCATAAATTTCTTTTTATTAATGAATCAATCAGTATCCTTTACACCCCATTTAGGTATAAATACACATAAGAGGGTTCTCCAATCTACCATAAAACCAGACATGGCAAGGGGCACACGCCCCTAAGGTTCTCCTGCAGTAATTTTGGACCATGCAAAAGAAAGTCCCGGATTATGTATTCAAAATAGGGTCCTTCAAAATATATTTGTTCTGATTTTCTCTCCCCAAACTTTTGAAAGAGAGAGAACATAGGCAAGAGGCCGCAAGAAACATGTGCCTAATAAAACAAAGTTATTTATACTACATTATTAATATTATTTATCTGTTATACAAAGAGGTCACGATTACTGATAACCATTTGATGTGAAATTTGATAGCTTGGGTGTGTCACAAAGTTCGAAGAAGTTTTTTTTGAAGTTTGAACTTGATCAATAAAATGAATGCAGGCACCCAATCTCACATCCAAGGTCAAGATTACTTGTAACCACCTTGTATCTAAAGTAAATGGTCTCATTATATACACTTTCCCTATATATATATATATATATATA